TGAAGCTTGAGATATTGTAGATTTCTTTTAATGCTACCCTTTGTTTTTAGCTATTTTTTCTCAATTTAATTCCTTCTTTGTATACTTCTTGTTGACTATATTCTTCCTGCGAGTTTTCTTGGTCTTCTTCCCAAATCTCAACTTTTACAAGCTTCTTTTCCTTTCTAGTGATACGACTAATTTCACTTTCTTTACCTTCTTTACTTTTTATGAGTATCCATTCTTTCTTCTTTTTGTTAGCTGAGATTTTCTCTTTGGTTTTGGTACTTAAAATCTCTTTTTCTTTTGATATTCCTCTTTTACTTCTCTTGATTTTTTGTCTTCTAGAATTTCATTCTTTAAGGCTTAGAACTACTTTACTTTTCTTCTAACATGTCTTTTTCCTTCTCTTACTTTAAGCTGTCTTCAAGTAATCATTCTTACTTGTTCATTATCTAGTAGTTGATTTACGTACTATAAATTAAGCTTACTTATACCTTCTTGTGCTTCTTTTATATTATATTTATTAAGGATATTGCTAATAAAACAGTTTTTTCCCTTTTGAAAGTTTATAATATTCCAGCTTGCTGTAAAGTCATTTTTTGTGATACTTAGGTCATATTTTTTTGCATGCTATATTATTATGACTTTAAAATTTTTTGTTTTAGAATAAAGATTTTATATTTTTAACTATATTTTTTTTTTTATTTTTTTTTTTATTTTATACAAATACTATTGACTTAACTTTTATTAATTTCATAATTTCAGAAGTGATACATATTGTGAAAGTACAACTAGCTACACATACAATTTTAGGTTATCTATTTAAAGTAGTCCATCTGAAGGTTTTACACTAGCTGCTATATCTGAAATCTCTTAGAAGATTCCCTATTTAAACTCTCTAGTCCTATCTCACTTACCGCAAATATTACTCTTTATAGTTAACCATAACCCTGTACTACTCTACTTTGAGAGACACCCAAGCTAACATTAGTTACAAACTTTATTGTTATAGGCCTAGGTCTTACTCGAATAAATCCCACTTTAATGCCTTCTAACAGATGGATGTCATGATATCCAATATTTTTAACTATATTAAATAACAAAATTATATAGAAACCAACTTTATTATATAGAATTTCACAAAATATATTTAAAAAAAAACAGCACACAAAATTTGTTTTAGTCGTAACAAAAACTGATCCAATATTAGCTAAGTTTTGTGATAATTGTTTCGAAATAATAATAATATAAGAATTGCTATTTGTACACTAGTATTTGTACACTATGTTACACGATCTCATTAGAAAAATTTAAGATCAGGTATAACATGTAAATCTTTCTTTGTATAACAAAAAACAAAATTTTTTAAAAAAATGCCAATATCTCGAAAATTCGTTTATGAAACCGTCTTTGGGGTATTAATAAAAAAAAATTCCTTGCTAAATTTTGCATATAACTATAACCTTGCCAAAATCTTAGGCCTCGCCCTAACCCTAAAATTAAAAAATATTACTTTTTTTTTAATAAAAAAATTTTTTTTTGTTTCACATGTGTAAATTTAGAAATTTTCTAATAATATTACGTCATTTTTTAAAATATATCAATGTTTTAAAAGATATCATATTAAAAACTATTTTAAACCAAACAATCATGTTTTTTAAATCGTGTTTTAAAACATTTGTCATCACTAGTAAAAAGAATTTTGCTGAAAAGATATATAATGTTCTAAAATTGAAAATTACTGTCTAGTTTTCTTTTGTTTTTCTTTTTGAAAGAAAATCCGTAACTAATTCTTGGTACATTTCATCATGTAACCCTTTTACACGTTGGTAATGACCGTTAATACGAGTAAGTTCGGATTTCAACTCTGATATTTGTGTCTGAAGCATGGTAGTTGCATCACCGTTCTATATAATAACAAAACAATAGTACAATGCATTTATATATCATAACATAAATAATATATGGAATACTCACTCTAAATTGATTTTGAGTGGATTTTGCTTTTTGCAAATCATGAAACCCATATGATACGGCAACTAAATAATAACTTTGATAACATCAATAGATAATACGAACGTAAATGAATTAATAAAAAAAAAACTATTACCTTGACCGGTGTGATTATTATTATATACATCAATATCCTGCAAAATAAATAATGAGCGTAAATCAAAGGTTTCGTTAATTAATTAAATTAGAAAGACATCAGTATTGTGAGTACCTTTGTATTATCACCTAAAACCATTATCACAGATTCTTCAATTTCAGAATCTTTGACGGACATTCTCTTAAAAGATTGTATTGGTTGTATCATAATTTTAGTTGGTGACAAGCCGAGATTAAAAAGATCCGGTGGTTTTATAAAAGTGTGTAGGTTTGCGATTGGACCTTAATTAAATATTTAAGTTAAAATCGATAACTAAATAACGCAGTATACTTATGAACTTATTATACCTTTAAGATTGGTAAAACTTTTAATCATTTGTCTACTGGAAATATCCCATACTTTTACTGCTTCATCTTGGGAACCTGATAGGAGAAAAGTGGTATCATATGAAAGTGAAAGAGTCGTAATTGACATACTAACCGAAATAAAAAATTCTGAATTATAAATGAATTCACACGACACATTCATGAATAAAACCATATAAGACTAACCCATGTCCTCGAAAGATTAGATTTGTTTTATCATGTTCAGATGCAACATCTTCAACAACACCAGCGCCTCCTACTGCTGCTATCTCAAATCCAGACTGTCCACTTACATTATAAGTCCTATTCTCAATTCTTCGATACAGATTTACTTGATAAATGAGATTATCCTTACCACCGGCAAAAAACATTCTTTCGGCAGGGTCAAGTGCAATAGCAGTTATAGCGGTGGGAAATATGAAGGTCGTTAGGAGATGTCCGGATGACAAGTCCCATAACTGTGGATGGGAGATTTAAAAATGAATATTTATAAATAATTGGTCAGGTATTTTTGAGTAACACACACTTTACAAGTGTGGTCCAATGACGAAGTCAGCACTCTTGCTGTACGAAAGCTGCCAATTCCACATATTATATCGGTGATTGGTAGTGAATGCCCCGACCATGAATAAAATGGAGCTGGTGATTCATCTGTTGAATCATTCAAAAGACTGTAAAGTTTGTTACAATTTGTAAGTAAAAAATGTATTTATCGTGACATCAAGAATAATATGTTACAGTAATTACAACCTGCATATCAACCAAATATTTATTCCTGCATCTTCACTGCCAGATATCAATGCGGTATCGTCATTTGTAAATCTGAGGACACTGATTCTTTTATAATGAGCATCATAAACACGACATAATATTCCAGTTGAAAGCTTTGATTTATACAAATTTCAATTAAATTTCAATAAATGATCGAATTATATTATTTTGTCACTTTTTATCTACCTCCCAAATGTAAATTTTTCCATTGTCTGTACCACAAGCACAATATGCGCCTTGATTTGAAATGGCCACTGAGACTAATTTCTCGGGACATATGATTTTGAGATAGGGTTGATCCTATAATGAATATATATTAAATGTATTAAACCAGTAATTTCATTGGCAATCATTCGGTTATTTTCTAACCTTTTGCCACGAGTATACGTGTAGTGAAGCCTTGTCGGTCTGTGCAGCTATAACTAGACCAACTCTATTAGGCTGTCCTGGGAATGGAATTAAAGCCAAACCATGCTGATAACAAGTATTTTGTTTGAAAGAGGTTAACAAAGTTCCAGTTCTTAAATCCCAAACTTGTGTAATTGAGCCTGACAGCGAGGTCGCAAGCACTAGTTCTGTCAACATTTTGAAAATCTTATCAGCAAAATTTTATTAGATGTAAAAGATCAGTCTATTTTATTGGACAATGCATAGATATGCTGTACTACACACTTTCTCAAATAAAAGTTTCAAGATCAAAAAGTTTTTAATCTTTCTCTTTTAATCGTCCAAAGTTACGGTGAACAAGCTCACATTGTCTAAATTTTTTTTTTATTCGGTGTGAGTAAAATTATTAATCAAATATATATTATTAGAAATGGCTAAAAAAAAAAAAACTGCCCCACGTAGCGCGATCTCTGATGTCGTGACGAGAGACTACACTATTCACTTACACAAGTCCATCCATGGCAGGTAATATCAACGGATGCTTTTAATTATCAAATTAAACTTTGGATAATTTTACATTGTCATTGTCAAGTTTATGAGGTCAATAAATTTCAAATTATAAATGTATTAGGAGTTTCAAGTCACGCGCTCCTCAGGCTGTAAAGGCCATTAAAACTTTTACCCTCAAACATATGGGCACTAAAGATGTTCGCCTTGATCCTCTATTGAATAAAGAAATTTGGAAGCAGGGCATTAAGAGCGTCCCTCATCGTATGCGTCTTCGCCTTTCACGCCGTCGTAATGATGAAGAAGATGCCAAAGAAAAATTATACACTCACGTTACCTATGTCCCTACAACATCATTTAAAGGTGAACATTATGATTTACATTTGATTTACATTTGTTTGAAATCAATTATTAATATATATATTTATCATTAGGCCTCGAAACTAAAGAAGTGGATCAATGATTATCATCCTTGGTTATTAATAGAAAAAATTAATAAAAGCAATTCTTTTTTAACATGAATAAAAAATATGTATACAGTTTAAGTGGTTTTTTTATTATAATTAATGTAACCAATACCAACGCATGTTAATAGTAACGTATTTGATTCTATATCCTGTTTTATTTTGAATGTAACGCCAAAGAAATCTCGAATATCTCGAAGATATTGTATTCTTGAATATCAAAAAATGAAAAAAAATAAAATAATAATTATTCAATAAATTGCTTTAACATGACATTTTTCATGCAACATAATCAACTTACGTGAAAGCCGTTATTTGTCCTAATCTGATTTTTGATACATCTTCCGGGCATAAGACCATCAATAGAAGCACCAACCATTGATTCGACGAACCAATGCATCCACCTTTTCGTATTTCAGAAAGTAAAAGCCTTGCTGTTCGTTTGCCGATATCTTCAGGTGTTTCACCTGGATTTGCTGCTTGCTCTGCAGTTATAAGAGCACTTGTTGTCGATTCGGCAACCAAAGAAAGCGCAAATCCCGGTGATCTGTTGTAAAATATTATTTGATTTTATAGTAATACAATATTTCATGCTATATATGCACTTATTTCTTACTTACTTCCCAGACTCCTCACCCTTATATACATCGGTATATATATATACGTCAGGAATATATCTATTTAGCACTGATCTTGCAGTATCTACTATCCTATTTGCATTTTGAGGGGATACACGGGTGCAGCACCTAAAAATTTATCTACAATTAACTCTGATTTATGAAAAAAAAAAAAAAAAAAAAGAGCTATAGAAAAAATACACTACGCAATACCACGGATACGTTTTATCCGACCTTCATCAGTGAACTGCATTGGTTTAAGAGCTTTCACTATTGGACACTTGAAATTGACTTCACCACCACCGAGCGGAGGTGCTCCACGTTTAAGAATCTACAATATAATAATGAATCATTTTGATCGTGATAAAAATTTAAATTATTCGTAAAAAAATTAACCTTCAATTCCAAGCCTTCTTCTATACCAAATCTTCTAAGTTGTAATAGAACTGCCGTTCGCATGATATCCATCTACACCTAATCTTAATCGCGTGATTTTCAAATCAAAACAACCATATAAGTGATTTCCAAAAACGGAGGTCGTCTAAAGCCATGTACCTTTACATATAGATCTACATATTGCATAAATTCTGTTCTTGATATCTATATATAAATAATACTATTAAATGCATCAAAAAAACTAACCCTAAGGTACATGGCTTTAGCCATCCCCCAAAAACGGGGGTCCGTTAATTGATCAGACACGTGTCTTTTGTACTACATTCTGACCAATAGATTTTACGCGTGTCACAATAATTGTCTATCGAATTTGGTCAGGTAATTGGGTAATTGTCAGAACGAAGTTTTAAAAAACTTAAACATCTATCAAAATTTGACGTATCAGCTGATTTTTGGAAATGTAATTAGTAGGGATGTGAATAGACCATAGTCTATTCAATATTTTGTCTATAACGAACGATAATAGTTTATTGTCTATTTAATTTAATAGTAAATAGACAAATGTCTTGAAAAAAAAAAAATCATGTCTGTATATTCACAAATTAAAACCAAATTAATTAGCTAATTTGTTTATTTAAGAAATTTGATAGTGACGTCTAAACATTAGAAGAACTTGAATTTGTCAAAATAATGCCATCAATGTACGAAATCTACCATAACGTGGAAGTAGCTGTTTACAAGTCACTCTCGTTATAGTGAAGTGATCAGTTCCATTAAAATTTTTTAAAATTCACTATAACAAGAGCTTTATTAGTAAATTCATTATATCGAGAAAATTTATAGACTGAGTTTATATCGTATCGGATTTTAATTAGTCTTCACTATCGCTATATCGAGATTTCACTACAGTATAACGAGTGACTTGTATCTTTATTAGTTAACCAATCAAATTTTAGAAAATATCTGATTATCAGATAAAATAACGGTTTATTAGATAACAAAAATTTTACTTCAGATGGCCTCGAAAGTTTTAAAATTTTCAGGTCACAATTATCTTAGACAAAGATTGATTCTTGCTACATTAAGCGGGAAAACTGTTAAAATTGATAAAATTCGTTCAGAAGATAGTAATCCTGGATTACAAGGTGATTTTTTTATATATACATTTATGGTTCGCACAGCCTAACGACATCAAAGTTACTGAAAATTTTGCAAATTTATTTTTTTATTTTTTATCATAATAAAAATTTTTGTTATTTAATAACATTTGTCTTAATAAAAAATGAATTAAATAAAGTATTTTTTGCAATTTTTAATGGTTTTATTTAAAAGATATACCGTAATTTAAAAGAATGATTAATAAATTTGATATCTTTAAGCTGTGCACATCATACAAAATAATAATTTTATTAATGATCATTGTAAATAAAATACAGATTTTGAAGCAAGTTTTTTAAGATTATTGGATAAAGTTACAAATGGATCAATTATTGAAATTAATTATACAGGTTGAATCATATTAAAATTTTTTTTTGAATTTTAACATATATCCTTTGAAGGTGATTTAAAAATTAAAATTATTGTTAAATCAGGTACAAGTGTATTATATAAACCTGGTATTATTACAGGTGGAAATATAAGTCATGATTGTGGTGCAGCTCGCGCAATTGGATATTTTTTGGAACCGATGATTGCATTAGCACCTTTTTCTAAAGATCAATTTAATCTTACACTTTCCGGAATAACAAATGATAACGTGGACACATCGGTTTGTCACTTGCTCAATGATTACATTTTTAGATTCATTAGAATGGCGCAAAATTGAATAGATCTTTCAAATATTTTGTTTGAACTGTAGATGGATATCATGCGAACGGCAGTTCTATTACAACTTAGAAGATTTGGTATAGAAGAAGGCTTGGAATTGAAGGTTAATTTTTTTACGAATAATTTAAATTTTTATCACGATCAAAATGATTCATTATTATATTGTAGATTCTTAAACGTGGAGCACCTCCGCTCGGTGGTGGTGAAGTCAATTTCAAGTGTCCAATAGTGAAAGCTCTTAAACCAATGCAGTTCACTGATGAAGGTCGGATAAAACGTATCCGTGGTATTGCGTAGTGTATTTTTTCTATAGTTCTTTTTTTTTTCCATAAATCAGAGTTAATTGTAGATAAATTTTTAGGTGTTGCACCCATGTACATCACATTTTAAATATACAAATTGACATTGGTATAACATGATTTACAGGGTTACAACCCTTAGAAATAACAAGGTTTATTGAAAGTTGGATACAAAGGTTCAAGTAATTATTCAAATTTGTTGATAGTGAGATTTGAACCTTAAATCTTTTGTATAGTAGTTTGGTAATCTAATTACTACACTAAGATTACTAGATCTTAAAATTGATATATTAATAATAAATTAATTAGTATTAAAATACTAGAAAATAAAGAAAAAATATATTTAAGTATATTTAAGATTAGTTAGTTAATATAATAATGTTATATTAGTCTATAGATATATTAATATTATAAATATAAAAGAATTAAGTTAAAATATTAGAAGAATATTAAGATAATATTATATAAATATTAGTAAAAATTAATTAATTATTACTAAAATATTTCTCAAATATTAGTAGAATATTAGTTTAATATTATTTAATAAAATTTTCTATTGTTGTAAAATATTAAAAAGCTAAAATATTAGCATCTTATTGAATTAGTTCTAATTAGATAATAATAATAATAATAATTATTATTATTATTATTATTTTTATTAAGGTAGCTTATATAGCTGAGTAGATTTTATTAATTTGATATATAAGATTACATATGAGTAATCCTCTACAATTTGTAATTATATGAAGAGTATACAATAAGCTATATATACAACTTTAGTCATTGTCTATTTAATTAGTTTGCTATATAGATGATAAACTATTTAATTAGTTTTACACTATACTGCTATACCTGTAACCTACTTGTGAGTTATTTATTTAAACACTCTGTTTAACTAACTTATACTATTATAAACTAATATCACTATAATATTTAACTACTTAAAATAGCTAGCTTATTACAGATCTATTTACTAACTTCAGCTTAGATTCTCTTAGAATATACCTTATGAGTATACAGAGTTCTAATTAACCTTGAAGTATACTACTAGAGTAGTCTATATTTATTTCATAAATTTATCTAGCTTAAACTCTTATAATATTTATATAACTCTAGTTCTTACTATAGCTCTTCACTAGTTTTATATTTGCTGATCTCTTTAAATATTTCAAAAAATAAATCCTCTAAATTTAGTTAGTTGTCAAGCTAAGTTGGTGTTGCTAATTCTCTTTATAGAACAGATTTACTTATATCTAACTTGATCTATATTTTCAGAGTAATAGTTTTTTTCTGAATTAAGTATTAGCTAGTATAATTATTAAAAGCTATACTACTTCACTAACTTAGAATTTTTACTATACAGATCTCCTGTTCATAGATTCTATCAAGATTTATTTATACAATATTATATTATACTTCTAATATTCAAATAATATTAGTGCAATATAATTTACAAAGTTATAATTCTAAAAATGAACAGAGTTTACTGTAAATTAAATACAAAGATCTAAAAAATTATTTAAATTTGTTGATAATAAGATTTGAACTCTATACTTTTTATATAGT